TCCGGTACGATGCACCAACTAAAGAAGTCTTATGGTTGAGCTATCATTGGAATTTCATTTGGAATTAAAAATAAATAATTGACTCTTTAATAATAATAATTTTCTGGCCCAGTTCTGTCTTTTTCTTCTTAACTACCACTGCTTTTACAAATTGCTCGTGATTAACTGGTTTCCTGTCCAGACTTCACCTCTACTGTTGCCCACTGTCAGCTGGGACAGACTTCCTGAGCTACTGGCTAGAGCACGGCTACAGGGTAATGTTAGGAGACAAAACTAAAAGAACAAATATGAGTTCAAATAAAAAGTAAATGTAGAAGATGTCCTGTGTAAAATGAAAAAAAAAAATGAAAATGTCCAAAAACTGTCCAGTTACAATGGTCATACTGGATATTTTTCATTACAGTAATTTCAGTTATTGTGTTAAACATTATGAAAAAAAAATAAACCCAGATTTCTTCACTTACATGGCGGCAGGCTTTGGGCATCGGTGATCAGTCATGTAATACGACTCCACAATGCTTGGTTTAATTCTTCTTGGGTAAAACTTGAAGCAGCAGTTGTCGGGGCCATTTGCATCTGAGAAAAAGATGTTTCATTACACTTACTCAAAAAATAAAACTTCTCTTTTAATGATGACATTAAAGGTAATCTTACTAGTGCAGTTAACTGCAGTCAACAAAGCAGCTCCAAGGATGCACAGCAAAAGGATGTGAGTGGTCTTCATTATGATTCCTCAGGAGTTGATGATGATGAAGAAGATTAAGACAACAGCTGTTCTTCAGACGCAAGCAAGGGCTTCTAAATATTAGGTGGTGTGCTGTTACATTTATCAAGATCAATATTTTGAAAAAAAAAAGGTGCATATGGTGTCATTGGTGTGAAAGAGGGAGGGTGGTTGTGGTTTCAAAAGGTGCTGAAAATGCCTCTGACAGAACTTTCCACTCGGCTACATTGAGAGGAAATGAAGCTGTGGTTTAGCCCAGAGCTGCAGCTCAAAGCATGACACTGTTAACAAAACCAACTTCTACAGCCCCCCCAAAAGTTTTAAAAAAATATATGTCACAAAATATAATGACCACAAAAACACTAGAAAAACAATGCGCCCGAACATCACTGTTGGCTATTTCTAATGTAATGAGACTGTGCTGGCCAGAGTAACATTTCAAAATCAACAAATCTATTTGAACAATGTGTGTTATCATCTTTTTCTGCTACATATAATCATGTGCTGTACCACAACAGTCCTTGCGATTGCTATGGTTGCGGGTTGCTGCAGTCATCTGTTGTTTTCATGAAAGACACAACTTAACCAACTTAACTGTTATACTAACTTAACTGTCTTAACAACTGAGCACTATTAAAACTTGAAAGTGTGACACAAACCAGAATGTTAACATTCACACTATATGTTGTGCTTCAGCAATGCAGCACATTGCATTTTTTACTTTGCAAAGCGATCGAGGATTTTGCTAACCAGTTGAGAAATACACATTTATTCCTGAGTATTCTCGGGCTTTAACAAGCACTTAAACAGTGATTGGCATCAGCCTCAACTAACCACCAGCCAACTGGTTGGGAAATATTCTTTTTTTTT